AGCAAAACTTAACTTTCAGCCACCAATTAACGTATGTAATACAGCCAAAAACATCATAGTGTGGTGAAAACATATATTCCTTAACAAACTGCGATTACGATTTAATTACATTTAAAAAAATTATTTTGGTATTTTACTTGGGATAATGAGCTTATGTAACGTAATTCTTGGTTCAAGGTTCTACTGAATTATGTATGGTGATAAATAAATGTAAAATTTAATTTAGCTATTCAGTAAATGTGTCGTACACCTTTTACAGAGTTATATAGCCTAATTTCCCTATTAACTCGCCGGCAACATCTGAACGTGAGCTAGGGCCTCGCGCTGCTTAGTGCATCAATGATGTTTTCTATACTTTGTAAATCTGCAGAATGTCACATTAGACCAATAATCCGTCCCAAAAACGTGAGAGAAAACGGTGTGAGAAGTATAAACCGACAACTCGAGATAGAACTCATTGTCTTGTGATAACCAAAACAACATATAACATAACCTCAAACCTCAAAGTAACAAGCCCGAGCGTTTGTCATCGGTCGTCTGCTGAGCTGGAAGTGGGTTACTGGGTTGTGTGAAGATTTTGGCTATTGAATGGACTAATGTATTCAATGTAGGTCTACCTGTCATGTGCTTTTACTTTTTCTGATTGTTAGGCCCTAAGAATTGTACGTATTGGTTTATTCCATACTTATTGTATTTCTTGTGACGATGTCAATTATTGCTAATTTGTAATTTGAAATAAATGGGTTATTAATGCCATATGCGCATCTCAGCAGACGCCATCTTTACTTCTGACGTCATGGCAATGTTTGGTTGCTGACGCCAAAACCTACTGCGCATCTTGTTGATGTCCAGTACAATACATACGACTAGCCTATCTTACTATTATAAATGTGAAAGTTTGTTTGTTAGTTTGAAGTTCAATCACGCATTAACTACTGGACGGATTGGGCTGAAATTTGGCAGGATGATAGCTCACATTCCCGATTAACATATAGGCATATTCTTATCTCAAAAATCCTTTTGGGCCCCGCCTCAGTGGCTCTGTAGTTCCCCATGTTAACCTTATGAGTATTCATATTTTAAGGGGAATTAAAGAATTCAGTCAGCTGTTTCAACTAAAAAAGTTGGTTCTATGATATGCAAAAAAATTAAAAAGTTATAAGATTTACTAACAGCACTAAATTTTTTTGCATTTATGAAAACAGCTAATTCAACAAAAAACTGTCATACACAATGAGAACTAACTGTCAAAGTAGGATTGTTTTCAGTTACGTTTATGTTTTTAATTTCATGAATAATTTGCGATATTTTGTGTTAGCGAATTTCCCTATAGGGAAGTAGCTATTACCGTAGGTGGCACGGTAAGACCTAGACCCGGGACCGATTTACTTTTTCATTTTGATGTCCCCAGAGGCCAAAAACGCCTTTCGTTCAAATTTTAATATATGTATATATATATATATATATATATATATATATATATTGACTTATATATTTTAAAAATATAAAAATAGGGCTACTATATATAAATAAAGATTAAACATTAATAAACTTAGTACCCAAGTAAAATTATTTATTAAAATATTTACTGACTATAGTTTCGGCTCTAAGGCCATTTTCAAAGTAAACAAAAATCAAAATAAGATATGTAAATAAATAAATAACATATGTTTTTATAAAACTTTTCTAACTTGTAACATAATTTTGTTTTCATTGATTAATTTATATACTATATGATGTGTTGTACTTATTTTCATTAATATTTTCTCAATTTTTCTATTGTTTCATATATTGGATTATTCAATTTTGGAATCATTGTATTTAAAATATTTGATTTGTTATTTTTGAAGTTCATATAAATATTAATTTCTTCTTTTACATTCAATTTTTCTCTGTCTTTTTCAATTTCTAATATTGTCAAGTTTTCTTCGATCTTAGTAAACTTATGTTTGGATTTTAGTAAATGATCTGCAAAATTTGATTTCATTGATGTTTTGTTCTTCGATTTATATGCCTGTATATGTTCGTTGAATCTAACTTTAAAATTTCGATAGGTTTGTCCAATGTAGTATTTGTCACAGTCAGAACATGTAATTTTGTAGATACCAGATGCATTGTATATGTTTGCTGTATTGTTTGTTATAGGATTGTTGGTTTTATTTTGTATGATTTTAAAAATGTTATTTTTTGTTCTGTAGCTTAATTTTACTGGGGTATGTTTGAATGTTTTCCTGATTGCTTTGTTAAAATTGTTGTTGTATGGGACGCACATGAATTTCTTTTCTTCTTTGTGTTTCGAATTGTTTTCTAAGTTTGATTTTAATTCATTTCTTTTCTTAATTTTCTTCTTGATCATATTATCAATCATTTTGCTTCTATATCCATTTTTTTCAGCTAGATATTTTATAGTGTCGACTTCTTTCTTGTAATTTTCTTTATTTAAAGGAACGTTGACTAATCTGTGTATTAATGAATGAAAAGTTGCAATTTTGTGTGTCCATGGATGATTCGAATTTTTTGGAATTATTATGTCTGTAGTTGTGGGTTTTCTGAATATGTTAAAAGAATGTTTGTTGTTTTGGATGGAAATTGTTAGATCTAGGAAATTGATTTCTTTTTGTTGGGTTTCTTTGGTGAATTTAATTTTCTTATTAATATTGTTGAGATATGTTAATAATTGTTCAGATTCATTGTCATTTCCTTTAAATAAACATAAAATGTCATCTACATATCTATACCAATAAACAATGTTGTTTATGAATGGATTTGTTGCATTAATAATTTTGGATTTTTCCATTTCTGTCATAAAGAGTTCTGATAAAAGCCCTGAAAGGGGAGATCCCATTGGTAGACCATCTTCTTGAAGATAGAAAGACGAATCATAACTAAAGTAATTCTGCTTAACAGTTACCTCTGTAAGTTTGATAATATCATTTATTTCATTTATTTTCAATTTGTTGTGGTTTATTAGGTTTCTTTTCAATATAGATAATGTTTCTTTGGTTGGAATATTCGTATACATATTGTTTAGATCGAAAGATAAGAGTAAAACATCGCTAGGAATATCTATATCTTTAATTTTGTTGATAAGATCTTGGGTGTTTTTCAAAGAAGAATCAGATTCTAAATTTACATTATTTTTGATTTTGTTGTTTAAGTATTTTGATAGTTTGTATGAAGGTGAATTTATGAAGTTTACTACAGGTCGAATTGGTATGTCCTTTTTGTGGGTTTTGGGCTGTCCTCTTAAATTTGGTGCTTTTGAATTTGTTGCTTTTAATAGGATTTGATCTTTCTTATTGATACTTTTGCATTTCGTTATAGTATCATTTATTGCTTTTGAAAATTCATCCGTTGGGTCTTTTGTTAAAATTTTATATTCATTGTTTTCTATGAAAGTTTTAACTTTGTTGTTGTATTCATTTTTAGATATTATAACAACTGAATTGCTTTTATCAGCTTTAGTTATGATTGAATTATTTTCTTTCAATTTGTCTGTTATGGATTCAATTAGTGTTATGTTTTCTCTTGTTTCTGATTTTGTTGTTTTGTTAATAGTGTTGTTACCTAATTTATCAAATTCGTGAATGAAATTAAATCTCATTGGATCTTGAACATCATCGTTTTGTTTTTTAATTGCTATTTCCATATCCATTAAATAATTTTACTTGGGTACTAAGTTTATTAAAGACTTATATATATATATATATATATATACGTCCGTGAACGCGATAACTTGAGTAATTTTTGTCCGAACTTGATGAAATTTGGTTTAAAGGTGTAAGGCGGGATAAACTTGAATGAGTTCGCAAACCAGCATGATCGGACCATGGGAACAGGGTTTTACTGGGGGTTTTATGGGGTAAAAAATGGTTTTTCTAATTTTTGACCCTCGAAACACAAAATTTTCTAATTTCCCTCTAAACCTTTTTAAAGAGCTTAAAAAAACAAATAATTTAGTATATCAAAGTATTTTGTATGGTTATTGGTAACGGAGAAAATTACAAAAATTGTAAATTTAAAATTCCCATGCTATTCTTATGGAGAATATTGTAAAATGTTGTAGTTTGCTTGTTTATGGATATATTTTGATCAAACTTGGCAAATTTATTTATTTTATACTAAGTTATTAATATTTTCCAAAAAAAATACACTTTATTAGTTTCCTTTTGGCAGCAAACCTAGGTACTCATTAAACCTAATTTAAAAATCTATTCAGACAAATAGAAATTCGCTTAGTCGGCAGGTTTGCTGCGGCGGGGGTATTTTCTTATAATTTAGAATACTGTAAATTTAAAGAAGCAAATTTTATTAAACTGTGTCCTCCCTCATTGCAAACACAAAGCTTGAGTATAACTGCAATAAGCATTTTATACTTATATGCCAACCCCGTACGAAGGACGGGTACTCTGCTAGTATAACATAATTACAACTATAAACATAGTTCAAACAAATAAAATCATATTATAATTAACTAGAGTACAACATAAACAAAGGAGCAAGGTTATAATCATTCACAACTAATTTTGAATATATTAATAATGGTTGTTGACCTGACACAGCAGAACAGATCCAATTCCAGTGATTTGTTTGTCCAGTCAATCCTACATAACAAACAGCTGCCGACGCCGTGGACGCTTAAATAGCTTGGTGTAGGTTGATTGCTGAAAACGTCTATGTTATCATCACTTATTTATAAGATCATCATTTATGCATTTTTTTATTTTATTATTATAGCTATTAGAGGGTAGTTAAAAAAAGAACAAATATTTTTAAGAACTAAAAAATACATAAGTAGAAGATGGAACCATTGGACAGAAGAACCGACAATTTTCCAACGGTTCTCGGTCCCGTTTATTTTCCCAAGAACCGTTGGAACCGACACATCACTACTTTATACAGGTTTGATAGACCCTGATAGCAGCATTGAGCTGTCAGGTACTGGCATCACTGATATGGAATTAAAGTGATAAATAACCAATAACTGTGTTGTGTTATAGCTTGCCAACCCAGTGCCCAGAGTCAGACACCCAGACTGGCTTCACAAGAAGATGTTGGAAAAGAATGACGTTCTCAAGCAGAGACGAATCAATGAACTGTTCTCTGCTGTACCCAAGCCAATAAATAAGGAGACCGCATTGGTAATGTGGTGGATTTTTAATTACATTGTACTTTTAAGCTGTTTTGACATACTAGCTGGAGACATAACCTTAAGTAAAATCTTTACCACAGTTCATAATATCTATGATTTATCTATAATTTTTGTATATTTTTGTATATATATATACTAACTTATCTTATTACAACAAACCTAACCTAACCTAACCTAACAAACTAACATCAAATTCTATGTTTTTGATAAGTTGATTTAAATAAAGTTTTGTTAGATGTAAATATTTAAACGTATTAACTGAGAATAACTTAAACACTCACTTCATTTTGGGGTAGCCAACGTGTTCAGGAAGAAAACAAACCTAAAATGGCGGGCGGCCAGCTTCTTTTTCGAGACAAGAAAGGTGGTCCATTTATACCGGACGATCGTGATGGATAGAAATGGCTGAATAACAATTTAACAATAATAACAACAACAATTTAGCAATAATAATAACAATTTAATTAATTAGAGTTTTATCCTCATTATATAATCCCTAAGTAAAATATTTAAAAAGTCCAAGTAATATCAAATTATTAACAAAAGAAACTAGGGATGGACGGGATTGAATTTTTAGTTCGGGACGGGACGGGACGGGATTTTTATTTCCTTCCCGATTTTCGGGACGGGACGGGACGGGATTTTTTTCTGTGCATAAAAAGAAAGTACTGTATTGCAGTTACCAAAAAAGACATACGAAATCAATTTTTACCATTGTGGCACTGATCTATAAAAACCAAAAAATGGGTAACAATTTACAGGTACCTATAGAAACTTGTGACTCGCGGGTCACGAGGTGATTGTCTGTATGACTCACGGTCATGGCGCGATCGTCGTCATGACTCGCGGTCACGGCGCGATTGTCGGTATGACTTCGCGGTCACGGGGTTATCGTCGGTATGACTCCACGGTCACGGCGCGATCGTCGTCATGACTCGCGGTCACGGCACGATCGTCGGTATGACTTGCGGTCACGGCGCGATCGTCGGTATGACTCCGCGGTCACGGGGTTATCGTCGGTATGACTCCACGGTCACGGCGCGATCATCGTCATGACTCGCGGTCACGACGCGATCGTCGGTATGACTCGCGGTCACGGCGCGATCGTCGTCATGACTCGCGGTCACAACGCGATCGTCGGTATGACTCGCGGTCACGGCGCGATCGTCGTCATGACTCGCGGTCACAATACGATCGTCGGTATGACTCGCGGTCACGGCGCGATCGTCGGTAGGACTCCGCGGTCACGGCGCGATCGTCGGTAGGACTCCGCGGTCACGGCGCGATCGTCGGTAGGACTCCGTGGTCACGGCGCGATCGTCGGTATGACTCGCGGTCACGGCGCGATCGTCGGTAGGACTCCGCGGTCATGGCGCGATCGTCGGTATGACTCGCGGTCACGGCGCGGTCGTCGGTAGGACTCCGCGGTCACGGCGTAATCGTCGAAATGACTTGGTCTCCTGCGTTCGCGGACCTATCGCTCGCAATAATGGCGTTATCGGCACTCGCGAAGCGGAAAAATCGCCGACGATCGGACCAAATCCCGTCCCGAAAAATTCCCGAGTCAAATGTAATCCCGTCCCGATAATCGGGAATATTTTTTTCCCGAAAAATTCCCGAAATTTCGGGACCCGTCCATCCCTAAAAGAAACAGAAGGACAGTTTAGCCTCTTTATATATTTTTTTTAAATTTTAAATTTGTACTGCCACTGCCACATCTAGATTTATATTAGCTTGCCACTGTGAAGAACCAACCTGGTGAGAACTCTCCATTTTCTGAATATTAGGCTTACCCTACTTGAAGAAATTTAACTCATCAAAGACATATTTTATTTTCAATCTGATCAAACCTAATTACCATTCAAAAACTATAAATAAATATCATCAAGAATAAATTCAGAAAAAACAATTTGAACAAGATAACTGAATTCAACCTTGATTAATTTAACACCTATTCAATTCATTGATAACATTAATAACATTAATAAAAACATCAGTATATACAAAAAATATTAATAAGTCAGAAAGTAAATAGTTTTCAGTATCTAGGAGTCCTATTATCAGACAACAATAATGAAGAATTGGAAGTAATAAACAGGTTAAATTCGGCTAACAGGTCCCTCCATGCATGCAATAGATTGTTAAGCTCAAAATTATTATCCCACAACACCAAATTACGTATTTATAAAACAATAATAAGACCGGTTTTACTGTATGGCTCAGAAACATGGGCAATGAGCAAAAAAATAGAAAAAATTATAACATTTGAAAACAAGGTTTTCAGGAAAATATATGGCCCGACGCTCGAAGATGGAATATGGAGAATGAGACACAACATCAAGATTAGAGAGCGCTATAAAGACCCCGACATCATAGCGGAAGTCAAGAGCAGAAGATTGAGATGGTTTGGTCATATTTCGAGAAGAGAGGAAGACTCCACTACGAGAAATGTACTTGATAGAAACCCCGAAGGCAGGAGACCACGAGGCCGTCCCAAACTTAGATGGAAGGATCAAGTACAAAAAGATGTAAGAAGACTCCCGAAGGAGTGAAAATGACACCAAAGACAGAGACATCTGGAGGCAGTGTGTGGGCGAGGCCAAGTACCTCTTAGGGTACCAGTGGCCACTCCAGAGAGAGAGAGAGAGAGAGAGAGAGAGAGTAACTTTTTAAAAATAACTCTTCTGCATAGGAAACGTGGAGATATCAGTTAGTATATAGTTCAACTTTGAAAAATATCAAAAACAACATTATTGCTAAATAAGTATCAAGTAAAAATTTTTAAGTCTTTTGTTATTTTTAGAATGATTTTGGAGTGACTTATTTGGCCATGTTTACAGTAGTAAATCATGTCTTACACTGCATACACTAACAAAACTTCTCATCATTTGCTATGTAAAAAAACATAAAACAATTGAAGCAATATTTCCATGTAAAGAATAAATAATAAAATATTTGCAGTTTTTTTTTATTTCTAAATTTTAATTTTTTTTTATTTTTTTTACTTTTAAATAATAAAAAAAATGTAAAATAAAAAAAATAAAATTTTTAAAAATTAAAAAACAATTTAAAATTTTAATTTTAGTTTAAATTAAAAAAAATAGGAAAAAAATTTAAATTAAAAAAAATTAAATTTCTATTTTTTTTAATTAAAAATTTTTTTTTATTTTGTTAAAAATCTTGTCTTGAAAATATACGGAAAGTAAATAAAAGAAACGTCTTATAACACTTAAAACATATATTTACGCTTATACTGTTACTCACAAGACGGTAAATATACAAAAACGATGGTACAGGTAAGTGGTGATCGATTTCGATTGGACACTCCAATCATCATCAGACCCAATAGGCGAATGACAAGAATCTTGAATGGCGTCCCTACTTATACCCTATTGGCTACCGGAAGCACCGGCCAATACATTTTTATAAGTACAACTGGAATCAAAATGTATTTGTTCATTAATCAACTTATTTCTATCTTTACATTTTTCCTTATAAATATACAATTCCTCCCAAGCATTCATTACATATCCTTTCTTACAATTCTTTAAAATATCTAGACTATCCTCCATTTTTCCTAGTGAATGCCCATTTTGTAACAGGTGTTGTGCGACATTTGTTCTTTCCGGTTTGTTGTTCCTCCACGCAGATATGTGGTTTTTGAAGCGGTTTACGAAGTTCACAGTCTGTCCAATGTAGAAGCTATCACAATCGTTACAATTGATTTTATAGATGCCCGAAGTGTCAAATTTGTTACAATCTTCTATTTTTGGATGCAGTATTTTACTCATGGTGTTCTGAGTCCTGTAGGCTATTGAAACTCCGTATTTCTTGAATCTGTTAGCAGTCCTTTGTGTTGTAGTCCCCGTGTAGCTAAATGTGATATATCTGGTGCTTTCCTCTTTTATCTCTTCTAATGTTGTTCTGCTGTTTAGTGTATTCTGTCTATCGATTTTTCTCCTCGTCTTCCTTGCGATGTCCTCTATCGTCTTGGTTTGAAATCCATTCGCTTGGGCGATCTTCTTAATGGTGTCCAGTTCTTTTTTCCTATTGGCTTGGCTAAGAGGGATCTTATAGGCTCGGTACAGCATAGATCTAAAGGCTGCGGTCTTGTGGATTGTCGGATGGATAGACTTGTTGTTGATTGTAGTGTCCGTTTGCGTAGGTTTCCTGTAGATGTCAAACTCTATCTTGCTGTCTTTTCTCTCTAATGTGAGGTCCAGGAAGTTGATCTTTTTGTTTTCTTCAAACTCGTTGGTAAAGGTGAGGTTTGGGTGGTGGCTGTTTAGTGTCTGCATCATCGTTTCATGCTCCTGCTCCTGTAAATTTAATAACACGTACAATGCTGATCAAGAAGTTATTTAGTGAAGCTAGTCAAGCAAAGTTAGCAGCAAAATATAGGGATACAAGAATCAAGATTTCCATGAAGATTGCAGATATTTACTTCAACAAAGAATGTATCAAGAAGAGGATTACACCACAATACGCTAAAATCAAGGTCAACTGTAACACCACTGCCGCTAAAAGAACAAAGGAACAAGGAGAGGTATTATTCATCAAAAATATGATCAAACAACTTTACTGTGAAAAAGAAGAACTGAACCAGATTGCCTACGACATCCACCTACAATTTTTGAGATTATACGGACTAATTGCGTGGAATTTACTACACGAAGTCGTCAGTGAAGAGGTTGAAGACGCCATGGACCGGAAATATTTACGGATAAACGACAAATTAGACAAACTCGTAGAGAAGAATACACCTAATGAAGACTTGGATAGGACCAATACAGAACACAAATTCCAGAAGAGAGTCATCAACCTTACAGACATTCAATTCAGTGAAGAAGAAACGAAAATACTGAACTACGGAATGAAGTACAATTTCCCAATGAAGAAGAAGGACGAAAATGAACTACTAGCTACTGAAGTCGAAGCAAATGTAAAATCACTCAGAGACGTAGACCATTATGCCGTTCGGAAGGAAGT